TAAAAAATTTATTCTAGGTAAAATCTTCATTTTAATAATTGCTATTCTGCTATTCTAAAGTCAAAATAATTTATAGAGCTCTAGTCTAAAGATTCTCAGCTTCCAACTCACTCACCAACATACATACACTCATTCATTCATTCATTCATTATATATATATATTGTTTGAACGTAGGAGTCCAGCTTTTAAGTTCCCTCTGACTGGGAGTTCTCCGTTCCGCATTGCTACTCCATGTCGCTGATGCTCCGCCCCAGACCAGGGAAGAGATTATATTTTGATTCTGTTAGCCCCATTTGCCACAGTGAAAATATTACTCTACTAATCCTCTACTAATATCATTTGATTGATTGCAAGTTAAAAAATGACTGAACTCTTTAACCTTGTAGGTGTAACTTTTGGAAATGTGTAACTTGAATACAAGTAGTCCCCAGGATAAGAACGCCTGGGTTACAGATGACTCATAATTAAGAATGGAGCCTATTGTAGCAAAAATCGAGTTACATACACAATGATTTGAGTTAACTACACAATACTACTTATTCAGGTAGTCCTCAATTATCACAATTGGGACTGAAATTTAGGTTGCTAAGCAATGCAGTGGTTAAGCAAATTATCACATGACCGGAACTGATTTTACAACCTTTTTTGCAGCAGTTGTTAAGCGAATCACCATGGCTGTTGAGTGAATCACATGGTCATTAAGCAAATCACACAGTCATTAAATGAATCACATGGTTCCCCATTGATTTTGCTTGCTGGAAGCCGTCCGGGAAGGTTACAAATAGTGGTCACATGACCCCAGGATGCTGTAACTTGTAATGTTGTAAGCATGAGCTGGTTGCCAAGCGCCCAGATCACGATCATGTGACCAGGTGGGTGCTGCGATGGTCGTAACATCGGGCACCAGTCATAAGTCACTTTTAGTGCCGTTGTAACTTTGAACAGTTGTTAAATGAGTGGTCTTTAAGTGAGGACTACCTGTACAGTATTATACAATAATACTGTTCTAGTTTTCATACAAATTTGGGCTAGCCCCCAGAGGCCTGGTGTTGCTACCATCGGCCTCCTGGATTTCTTTTCCTTTTATTTTTCTAAACGTGTCTTAAAATACAAATTTTAATTGTATATTTATTTATTGTTTTAATATGTTGTGAGCTGCCCAGAGTCCCCCATTGGGGGGAGATGGGTGGGGACAATTTTAATAAATAAATAAATAAATA